GAAATCTGTTCAAATTCACTTTGCTGGGGCATTCTCACTTTAGAGAGCTCACTCAAACACACACTGAAGGTATATAACTGAGCCCTCAACAGAGGAGGATGAATCCAGAGTATTCTGAGATATTTCCTTTGAATCCAGTTCCTCCATTTGTGGAAGTGTGTTTTGTGCATGTTAGCTTGTCACATGAAGATATTTCCCACTTTACTTCAACAAGCTGACATCAGTGATTCAGTCGCAATGCTAAATCCCGCACCAGAAAGGGACTCTGTAATTTGCCCTTTCTCCAAATCAAGTCCCAAAAGAACAGATTGGAGGACTTCCATTTCCTCAAGATACCTGTAAGCTACTGCTTAGTTTCAGTGGATCCAAATCTTGATATGAAGCATTTCATGAATTGTATGGATTTCTCCTAATTGGGGAAAAAAAGCTTATCCTGGCATAGTTTGTAGTTAAGTGTGAAGAATTTAACTAAGGGAATTTCTGGGCTAGCAGGACTCCAGGCCAGAAGTTCATTAATCATATAGGAGTGGGTTTACAGGATCAAGAAAGATGGGAGAGTATTTCAAAACAAGCAATGGTCTTCCTTCCTATCATTATTCCTTAGCTAGGAATATCCAAAAACTGAGAAGCAATAAAATGGGAGAAGAGTCCCAGAGACTCAATTTATAATCCAACCAGTTCCTGTCTCCAAAGGTGGTCCACCAATGATGGATAAACCACTGCTTATCTCCTTGCCCAGATAGGTATCTTGTATTCAAGGACACAGTGCCCATTTTGCAGCTAGTACTGCTATCGCCTTTTTTTTTTAATTTGATTTATATGCCGCCCTTCTCTGGAGACTCAGGGCGGCTTACAATGCGTTAAGCAATAGCCTTCATACTTTTGTATATTTATACAAAGTCAGTTTATTGCCCCCACAAACTGGATCCTCAATTTACCTACCTTAGAAAGGATGGAAGGCTGAGTCAACTTTGAGCCTGGTGAGATTCGAACTTACAGTAATTGCAGACAGCTGGTGTTAATCACAATGCTATTAGTCTGCTGAGCCACCAGGCCTTCTTCAAGCTAATGCCTTAAACTTGGAACTACAATTCCCATTGGCCATTGAGAACACTGGGGGGCTTGGTCCCCACATCACTGCCTGAATGGATAGATGCTGCAATCCAGGGGTGAAATCCAGCAGGTTCTGGAGAACCGGTAGCAGAAAATTTGAGCAGCTCGGAGAACCGGCAAATACCACCTCTGGCTGGCCCCAGAGTGGGGTGGGAATGGAGATTTTGCAATATCCTTCACCCAGGAGTGGGATGGGAATGGAGATTTTGCAATATCCTTCCCCCAGGAGTGGGATGGGAATGGAGATTTTGCAATATCCTTCTGCCACGCCCACCGAACCGGTAGTAAAAAAAATTGGATTTCACCACTACTGCAATCCTTATATCCCCTTCACCTAATTGCGCCTATAATGCGTCTCCCTTGGCTCTTTCTCCTTCCCGCCACTCTCAGACTTCCCGGAGGCCAAAGGAAACCGCTAATTTCGCACAAACACGTTGAGTCCGTTTCCGGCTTTCCTACAGAGCCGGCAATGGCGGCGGGGCCTTCACAGCCGCGGCGGTAAACTTCCCAGCGGCCATTGGGATCCGCTGCTGCTGCCAACAGGCTTGGAAAGAAGGCCAAGCCGCCGGCCTCGGAGGCATTTTAAGCGCAGTGTTTACTTCAGAATAAACGTATTCTAGGCCGCTGGGCACCTGCAGATTTGTTCCGGGGCTGAGTGGCGCTAAAAGAAGGGGGGGGGAAGCCTCGACGATGTCTCGCCACAACCACGGCCCGCTGTGGAAACACTAGAAATCCCGCGTGGGGAACCGGCTTTTGAGGCACCGACCCATCCGGCGCCTTTCAGGACCTGCTTCTCGCTCCCTCGCGTGTTTTTCCCCCCATGTGTCTGCCGAGAAGAACGACCGCTGGGAGATTTTGGAGGTGTTTCGACGCCGGGACTTGCCCGATTTCTCCTTCGGGATTCAGAATCAGATTGCCGGCAAATCTAGACGGGCCAACGCTTCTCCGGCCTCGCCTCTCTCCTCTGTTTCTTATACACCGCTTGATTCTGCTTTCCTGATCGTTTCATTTTTGCAACGGGTTTAAAAAAAAAAAAAAAGAGGTTGCTAACAGACGGAGCGTAGCAGAGATTTGTTTACATTTAGCGTGGGCCGCAAACTGCCAAGATGCTGTCAGATGCTAATCGTTTATTTATTTACTTCTTGCATTTGTGTTTCGGATTTGCTTCTGAGAGGCTCGAGAGACCCGACCGAAGGGTCTCCCTTCATTTTATTCTCACAACAGTTCTGGGAAGTCAGCTCTGGGTGTCCGATAGGTTTTTAATCGGTCTCTCCGATCCAGATCCAAAGCTGCAAATATACTGACTCTTTTACTGTGTTTATTAAAAAATCCCGTTATGACAAACGAACAGGAATAAGCATGCATTAGGATTTTTGGCCGATGGAAAATCGGACTTTCAAATAAGTGGCTCTAAAATCCAGCCATCCGTACCTTTTTTTAAAAAAAAATCACATTTGAAAGGAATCGGTTGATCGACACAGCGGGAACTGCGTTCGACTTGGGAGTAGGAACACTTGTTGCAACCACTTGATGGCATTCTGACTTCAGATCTTTGAAAGAACAATGAACGTCATAGCCGAAGTGATCGGGACTATCTTTAAGCAATATCGTTTAGGTTGGAAAAGAAACCCCCTCCCCAAACCTTACATACACCATTCACAATCAGGTGTTTTTTTTTTACAGTGGGTGCTTGAATAAGTCACATTTCCTTGGGTTCACATAGCACGGTGAGCTACAAATCACAGGTCTGGGTTTATAAAATACCTTAAGCCGAAACAAAACATTATGGCTTAATGTGTGTGTAAAGCAGATCCTACACGCGCGCGCCCGCGTGAACACACCTGGTGTTCAAGACCAAGCTGGGCCGAATGGGAACCTTCGCTTCTCGTTCTCACTTAATGGGGTATAATCTTACTTGGCGCTGGTCAACACCAGCGAATTCGGAGAACATCTGCACCTCACCTCAAAAGGCATCCTTCCGCAATTTCTAAATCTATCAGCTATTGTGCAAAACAAACGCCGGAGTAAGGGAAAGGAATACCTTTTGAAGCTACTCTACCTGGTAAGCAGATCCTCCTCTATTCAGGCTGGCTCTCATCAAGAACCTGGATCCTCGAAGTCTCAAAACTCACGAGGGTTTTGAGCCTTTCAAACCTCCTTGGACCGGGGCCTGTGGCCGTCCGCTCCCTTCAAAACCCGTGCAGATAATATTTTCAACACATCAGACAGGAGGCTGCAGGAAATTTTCACTACAATGTTCTGCGCTAGATTTGCGTTCGGAGATGCTAAATTTCCTTACAATCAAGGCGATCCTATATCCACGCAGGGGAGCATGCGAAGATTCATATTCGGCCACAAGACAACGCAGTTTATGCGCATGCATGTGCGAGGGTACATTGGTCTTTGGATTTATTTCAATTTTTTAACAATTCGAGCGATATTTGAGCGGAGGAAGGCGAAAGAGCATTTTGAGAGATCTGCAGCGTTGCAAAAGCAAAACGATTAGGTTTTTGCAATCTTGCCGTTTGAAAAAGAAAAGTCGGATTTAAACCCTGCATACTTAGCGGGAATCAATTGCATTCGATTCAGTGGGATTTTTTCCCCCAAGAACCAGCAGCTCTCACGAGTTGGATGAGATTCTGTCTCCAACTTTCCAATACTACATTTCTTTCTAACCCGGATCGCTACTCTCCTACCTTCTGCTTTTAAAGAGGGATAAAGTGTGTATGAAAGAGTTTGGCTGTTCTATTGACCTGAACCCCCGTTTCTGCCAAAACAGATTTTTTTCATTTTATTACACCGTCAAGCCTGGCGGAATTAACCACCCGACTGTGGGTGGGACTGTTCCTGAAATTGAGAAGAGAGGCTTTTAATGGGTGCGTTGGGGAAGGTCGAGTTGTAAAATAGCCAAAATAATTCCTGTTATATTCCCTATTCCCCGAAGAAGCATGTTAAGTACCTCAAATCCAAATTCAGCTAATAAATAGAAAGGCGTTCTGCAGAAAATTTCTTTAACGGCATATTTCCAATATTGTGGAATTCATTTCCGAGTACTTAGGATCGGATTCCTTTGAACAACTCGAGCTGCGGAACTAATCTCCGTGTTGCAATCTCTGGGGTATTCAGTTGGACGAAATAACTTTTAAGACCGTCTTAGATTTCAAGTCAACTAGTTCGTACATTGATACAGGTTTTTTTTTAAAAAAAAACTGGCAAGGTATAAAGACCTTGCAAAGGAATGGCTTTCCACCACCAAATATATTTAAACCCCGGACTCCGTGATTACTTATATTACACGTGTGCATTCTTTTCCCCGTTTCCTACGAGGATAAGTGCAAGTCGCCTGACCTGCAAGACCTAATGGAAACTCGATATTTACTCGCGGGGAAGCGGACATTTTGGTACAGGTTTAGAAAAGTCTTTTCTACAAACTTTTCCCCGTCCCCTCTTGCCAGAAGTAAAGGCTTTTTTTTAACTGAGCAGCGCCTTGCAGGAGAGAACAGAAAGACCCGCTTGTTCCCAGTTTGCTCCGTTTCCCGGGACGGGGCAGTTCCTTAGCCTCTTTCTGGGACTCCGCAGAAGAAGCGAGCCAGGTGTCCTTTCCCGCGTCCACTCGGGAGCCGAGAGGTCACAAACTGGACGCAGCTCCGGTGTTTTCAGGCCCTCACAAGGGTAAAAAGGGGTGTGTCCAGAAACGGGTGACGTGACTCCACCGCTTAACCAGTAAGAGGCCGGCCCTTCGGAGCTCTGTTCCAATAGGAAGCCAGCTTGCCGTGTGAGTGGCATTAAGGCCGGGCAGACTGAAGCAGGGCTGAGAAATGAAGTTAGGTAAAAAGCCCTTTTGGCTATCCAGAAGTTTATTAGGCATTTCTCAGCCTGAAAATTAAGGATTCCTCATTAACTGTCGCTTCCTCTCGATTACAATCCTGGACGAGCCGGACAGCAACGCTAGAGGATGAGAAGGCACAGATCCCCACTTCCCACCCGTGGGAGAAGAACTTTTCCACCTTTGACGGATCTCCCTGATCTTTATTAAAGTCTCGCTCGCCACTGTCACCTTGGGCTTGGGGAGTGCAGGTAGGTGGAGGGGGCGGCAGTTGGGGGAGGGAGAAACAGGAGACACCCGGAGGCTGCTGCGGTGGGAGGGGGGACTGGGCGGGAGAGGGAAAGTAACTCTTGTCTTTGGATCGGCAAGGAGTCACCCTCGTTCTTCTCCTGGGCGGCTTGTCTAGCTGAAAGATGCGCTTTTTGGCTCCACGTATCTCTGCACAAGGGGAAATGGGGGAGGGAAGGCAGGCGGGGACCCTTTTAAAAACTTTCACACCGCAAAAGAGCGATTTCGAAACGGGGGTGAATGGAAAACGCCGAGCGGTAAGCGGTCACTTTGCTCTATGCTTCGACTTATGGGATGGGAGGGAGGGAGAAGACAGGTATTATTTACCAAAGGGATCGCCATCCTCGAGGCGTTTAAATCGGAGCTCCGGGTTTAAGTTGGGGTTCGTGATAATGACTTCCAAACGGGACTTTGGCCAAGGCGTAAGAAAGTTGCCCAGCAGATCAAGTAAGGCGTAAGTGGGGTTTGTGGATGGAGAGTTTATGAGGAAGTGGCTGGTTTATAGCTTAGCTAAACGAAGCCGACCGTCCCTCAAAGGAGTGGCTGCTAGAAGGAAATGGGGAAATTAGAAATTGGTATCTGAGCATTTTTTATATATAAACAGACGCGCGTGGTCATTCGAATGGGCCCCTTTATCTCCTTATAACTTCTTTATGTATAAATTACATATCGCACGAAGCCCATCTTTGCTTAACATGGAGAAAGTCCAGAGGGAGGGGGGCTCTCTTCAAAAATTTCTCTGTGAACATTCTTTTCAAAACTCTGGAGCGACCCTGAAGGTTATTTGGAATCGGCCAGATGCGAAGCCGCAGTGGAAAGAGACCTCATTTTCCGACCCGTATCAATTCCCTTCGGTATTTCCGTCCGGGAGCCTCCAAGGGCCTTTAAATCCCCTCGACTTTATTCCTTTCCAGCCGTTGCTTAAAAGCAACAGTCTCTCTCAGTCTTCCTTTCGCAGCCTTGCGCGGCACCTATGGCAGAATCCTATGTTGACTTCTTTCAAAGTCCCCGTAATGTATTCGTGGGCTTAAAGAATGGGCGAAGGGATTCCCGCTTGGCAGATTTTATCAAAAGAGGACCCTTGTCAGAATATTAACCTTTGACTTTTTCTGTCTCCCTCTCCCGCCGCTATTGTCTTCACAGCTGCTTGAAGGAAGGGGGCCTAGGTCGGCCGATTGCCAAAGGCCTGCGCCCCGAAGCCTGGAGATCCTGAGAAAGAGGAAGGGGTGCCCAAAAGAGAAGCGCTATGAGGTCTCCTGGGCGGAGGAGTTACTTTGGCCAACAGAAAAGGAAGAGAAACGCCGGGGTCCTGGGCTAAATTTCTGAGAGTCAACCACGCCTTTGGGACTCTTTCCTCTGGATTCCTCTCTTGGTGGGTTCTCTCGGCGGCTTTGTTGAAATCGAGGGTTTCATATAATGCTGCTCCTCAGCTGGTAGGGCCGCTCTGCGCTCGCCTCCTCCCCACTTGAACCCCAGCGCCGGAGGTTTTGGAGAAATGGCTTAGACTAGGGACGCCAAGCCAAGCGGAGCTGGCCATGCTTTGCTGGGAGTGATCTTTCTTCTTGGATGCATCTGCGGAGCTGGCCTGGTCGCAGAGAAGGGGAAAGAAAGCACCATGAAAGAGAAATCCAAAAATGCTGCCCGAACTAGGCGGGAGAAAGAAAACAGCGAATTCTACGAACTGGCCAAGCTTCTGCCTTTGCCTTCGGCTATCACCTCGCAACTGGACAAGGCCTCCATCATTCGGCTCACTACCAGCTACTTAAAAATGAGGGTGGTCTTCCCGGAAGGTAAGTAGCACCCCTCCTGAGCCTTCCATCTCCCTAATGCCTTGGGGAGAGTGGAACCAATAGGGTTATTCTTCCTGGCTGGGCCAACTTTCCGCATCTTTTGTTTACTCAAGAGAACTTCCAGAGCGACTGTTCTTAGGGCAGAAGTTGTGTGGATTTTGCAGGAAGTTCTGTAGAGACTTTCCTCTTTTGTCTGCTACTTCTTCTTCTTCCTCCTCCTCCTCCTCCTCCCCCTCCTCCTCCCCCCCCAAACCTTTTCCTCTTTGGTACATAAGGCCTGTTTGGCTGGGGGAACCAGAGGCACCTTTGTCAATGAAGCTGTGAGCGCAGCTGCCACTTCCAGTGACTAAAACAAACCATCCCACTCACCCCTCTGCCCGGTCAAGCCACGTGGATTGCCCCAACGGGCATCTCCCTCATATTTACAATAGAAAAAAATGGGGAGGAGGGAAGAAGGAAGGCAAGAAATTAATACCAAGTTAAATATTGATCCAGATCCTAAGCCCTGGTTTCTATTGTGTGGACCAAAGCGGCACAACTCCAAGTGAGGGAAGAAAGAGATGCATAAGAAAGAAATCTCAAATATGAATATGTATGAATGTGGCACATCTGGATCGAATATCCATGATACTTTGGAAACCAAGTAGAAATTACAGTCTTTACCTGGGTTCTGCATCCAGGTGATTGGGGAAATAAAACCCTTCCTTGGAATAAGGCCTCTTTGGCTAGGAAAGTCATATTTCATCCCTCAGATGAACATGTTCTTATCTTTAGGGTGGGAAAACACTGTTGTCATGCCTGGCACAGGATGGAAATCAAAACCTGAGTGAGAAAAAGTCAGTAAACTCCACACTGAAGAAAGTGAAGCCAGAAACTGGAATATGAGGCACTTTTTTTTCCTCCTCTCCCAGCCTTTAAAGAAAAAAAACAAATCCTTACAAGTAGGTAGGTAGAGCATAAAGTCTAAGGAGCTTTCATACAACTCTAAGGGTTTTCTAGTGAAATCTGAGCAAGAGAATTTTCTTTTGCAGAGCCCAAATTCTAACTATCTCTATAACTATTACTGTTTCCTAGAGTAAAGGTCCCAAGAGTAGTTCTGTAAAACAAAAAAAAAAAAAAAGACGTTCAGAATTTATCACATCTGGAAGTCTAATGAGACAATCCTATGTAGATTTATCAGGAAAATTGATGTAGGATTAACAAATATCTCAGCAGATTTAATTTTTTCAAGGGTTTTGTGTATTGGGATATGTAAGTACTTTAAAATTTTATTCTAGCTAGAGATCGGAAAAAGTCAGCAAAGATGGGCTGGCCATTGAGGCTTGTAGTTTTTCCCAGTGGAATTTATGGACACATGTAATATTATAGATACAAAACAATGTTATGAACCAGAGTAAGAAAACAGTAGGAAGAGATTTGTATTTCCACATCTGTTAATGAAAGTGAATTTTCAATCAATTTGTCAAGTTAGAATTTAATAGAAACTGAATCTTTATCCTATTGCCTTTGAAGTTTTTACAAACCCTTTAAAATGGAACTTCTTTCCAAGTAAGCTTGTGATGTAAACATAGAACATATGTGTACATCTGGGATCAGAACAACAAAGTAACTAGATTTGGGACTGGGGTTTTTTAGCTGTTTCCCGATTTGACGATGTCCAATACAGTGTATTAACATGACAGCCAAGCTGTTTGCACGGCAGGAGAGCCAGGTTATATTTCTTTAAGCCCTACTGACTTCAAGAGCAGCAGAATTAACCGCTTGCTTGAAGAACCGCACTAAAAGGAGCGCGGGGAGGGCACAAGCGCTTGATTTGAGCTGGATCGTGACCAGCGAAAGATAATGGAAAGGGCTATTATTGCCATAGGTTTACTTTGAAATAATTCACTTTGAAATAAGGTTCCCGTTGCATTCCAACAGGGTTTTTTGTTTTTTGTTTTTTGTTTTGGTTTTTTGTATGAGGTAGCCAAAGATTTCGAGAATTCGTGTATTTACGGAAGTTTACAACGCGGGGATCAGCGGGATATAAAAACAAACCATTTGTTCGCAAGGAAGCCTCTTTGCTTTCAATGGAAATTATCTGCGGGTACCTTTGGGCGCGCTTTAGGGAAAATGGAGCATTTCTTCTACCTGATGCTTCCACCCAGAGACCGAAACCTACTCAGCGGTGACCGAATTGCGCTGTCGCCTTGGGAAAGCCACCCAGTAACGCGGCATTTAAAAAAAGACAGGCTGGGGAGTTTTAGCGTTAGGTGCCCTCCGTCGGGGGAGAAAAAAACCTTTGAAAGAAAGCGCCGGCAAAGGCATTGGAGATTAGATTTTTAAATATATTTCCCTTCGGAGAGCTTTGCTGGAGGTCACCTTTCAGGTGAACGTAAGCGGGATGCCGTTGTTGTGACGATTATTATTATCATGATTATGGTTCGTCGCACAGCCAGCCAGATGTTTAGACTGGTTTTGGCATTTTTGTCGCGAGGGAACGGATGGAAGGGAGCCAAACGGGTAAGAGCCGGTGCAGCTTCTCCAAGACGATTAGCCGCGCTTTTCCCACCGCTTCGATCTCGGCGGGCTACCTCGAGTTCGTGCTTCGCGGCGGATCTGCTCAATTACCCGCACCTCCCTGGCGGGCTTGTTCGATCAGAAGCAGCATATGGTGCGGCTAGTGGCCTGCGAGTAATCAGAGCGGCCGGAGGAGAAGGACTCTCCCGTCTCTGCTCCTCTTGACTTGGAAAGCCGCCGAATATCTGGGCAGGAAGGGGGTGAAACGGGCTGGGGAGGAGAGGTCAAGCCTCAGGGGGATTAGCGGCGGCCAAGTACAAGCCGCTGGACTCAACGCGCACGGGTATGGAGCGGTTATACTGGGGCAGCCGGAGAGCCGCTTGCGATGCTGAAGGCGCTTGGTGGGAAGGAGGTTGGCTAAAGATAAACGGATTTCTGGCGGTATTTAGAAAGAGGGCATGCTGTGTACGCAAGTCGAGTTTTCAGAAAGCGGCTCCGGCTTTTAAAGCGTTCGAATCCCCTGAAATCTATCCTGGCCTGAACAAGTCCCTCCTTGGCTCGGAAAGCAATCGCCGGAGGTGGCTTCTGTTTCCCCTCCAGGTAGTTGTGGCACCTTCTTTAGGCACCCTTTCCTGCGGCCTGCCTCCCTTCCGATTCTTCTTCTTCCGGCCCGACTGCGGTTCGATCCCGCGTTTACCTTGTGGATCTTGTTCTTAAGCAAAAACGGTCGCGGCAGTCCTCTCCTCCTCACTCGCCTCCCCCTTTTCAGGGCAGGCTTCTTTAAAACCCGGGGTCCTCCAGGGATGCCAGGCTAGGCCATGCCCGACCGGCAGGGAATTTAAACCACTCACCCGGAAAAAAAAACTTCGAGGACTAGAGAAAAGAAAATGCGGCGGGTTGGATCAGCGGGCAAAAGCTTTGATTGCCTGGGTAGGAATCGATACGAGCCAAAATTGGGCCAGGAGAAAAAGCGACACTGAATATTAGATTCTAAACACGCACCTGGATCTAAATCCCATTGATTCCCAGGCAGCTTCCTTGCTTTTCAGCAAGCGGGTAGGATCCTCACCTTACAGACTGAGCCTTCCAATATTTGCTCAGTGCTAAATCCCATCGATTTCAGTGAAGCCTATTTATTTCCAAGGAGGATCTGAGTGGCAGCTGCCTTCCGGCTTGTTTGTAAGAGCCTCACCTATTTACCTATGAAGTAAACCCCCTCGCTTTAAACCTACCTAGGGGATAGAGCAAGCCCCTTCCGGATCCCCACACAGCTGTATGAGAAAGGAGGGGATCTCGGGGGAAGGGTGAGTTAGGCGCCAATACAACGCTACAGATTGTCGAAGAAGAAGAGGCGGGGGCAATTTTGATTTAAAAGTTCTAGATTCACTCTTTTGGGGATAGTGTCGCCTTCTTTCCTTTTCACTCGGGTTCTTCTATCACTGGGCAAATACCGAACGATTTGAAAGCCAAGCACTCTTCTTCGCTCTTTGTGAAGCCCCCACTTTATAAAAGGCAGCAAGGAAGCGGGCGCGGGGGTGGGGGGGGCGAAGTCGTTTTCTCGGGTTTGGGCTGAAACGGACGAGAAACTTTAAGATTGGTGGTCGGGAAAGGGTGTGAGGGAGGATGTTCTAGACTCAGCGAACAACGGTGGATTGCAGTTACTCATAAATAACTTTCCTTTCATGATCCCCACTCCCACCCCAATTGGGATTTTTATGTAGTCTCTAATACGGGTTGGCGTTTCGTGATCCTCTTGGGGGGAAGGCTCCTGATTATATTATGCGGGGCGGAAAAAAAGGGTCCCTAAGGGCCTTTGATTTTGAATTCCTTACCGATGTTGGAGTCACAGGGAAATCGGTCCCCCACTCTCCCCGACTGTGCAAAAGCGAGGAGGTAGATAGATTTGAAGGAGTCGGTTGAAGAGAAGGGCTGATAACCTTCCCAGCGAAAAGCTGAGGCTGAAAGATGGGGTGAATGTCACAGGCTGTGCCTCAAAGGCCGAGCTAGGTTCACTTCTCTCGCCAGTCCTTGACTCGGGCGGGGCCTGCTCACCAAACTATCTCGGGGATCAGAGAGTCCTTCGCTGGTTGGCATTGGAAAGGGGAGATTTGAAAGGAGTAAACCGCAGCGGAAGGGACAGGAGTTCTCGTGAATTAGAAAGTCACCTAGTCCTAATCATTTTCGTCGTCGTCTTCCTTCTCCCCTCTTCCTCCTCCTCCTCCTCCTCCTCCTCCTCCTCCTCCTCCTCCTCCTCCTCCTCCTCCTCCTCCAAAAAACTAGGAAGAAATCTGTGGCTCCTTTTAAGACTTACACTTTTATTTTGCCACAATCTCCCACAAATTCAGTTCGCTCAATATAATTGATATCCCCCAAACTGTAGATACATCCGTTTTCTGCAAATGGGCAGCATCCATTGTGCTGGGAACAGGGCCCTAGGGTTATCTGCTAGTGTTTTAGAGTCATTTCACAATTTTTTTTTAAAGGAAGACAAGTCAACAGTG